ACGCAAACTTGCCGAAACCGCAGGATTTGCAGACATCTATACGCAAGACTATAGCGGATATTTTAAAGACATTAAAGATTATATATATCTAAACGGTGAAAAATACCGTCCCCAAGATATATCACCTATCAATATTTTTAGCTTTGTTACACTCAAGAATGAAATTCTTGATTTTCTAGGATGGCCCTACTACATCTTAGAAAAACTAACTATTTTATACGCAATGTTTAACTTTATTGGATTTCTTTTTTTCACTCTTAAAAGGAATCTATAACACATGTGCTATACACACACAAGTCAATCGACAAGCAAGTGTAGCACGCATACTATTTGCAGGATTTTTTGGAATATTTTCTACATCTATAAACAAAATTCTTTTAGATGCACAAATAAAAGAATATAACACAAAAATAGCAACAAGACAAAACACATACGACGAAGAACATAACAATGCAGACACAACACCAACAGCACCACAGTTACCACCCCTACCACATAACCATCCATTATCCCTAGTCCCACGTAATTTTCGAAATTTAGCCATAACACATAATAATTTTAGACCAACCATATCACAAAGTCCCATCCAACATATAATACCACACCACTCACAAGATGAAAATACTTATGAACAAATTATAGAACAACCCCATACCACCGCTTTTCAGTCTCAAAATAATAATTTTTTTAGCCCACGATGAGCCGACAACTTGGATCCCTACACCGATCAAATTCCCACCCAACCAACCTCACCACTCCAATCCCAATAATACCACTTTTTGCTTTTCCGCCACCCGATTTCCCATCCAGTAATGTAACATCCGGCATGAATTCCGATACTAATTCACACATCTCAGTTTTATACTCCATCTCACAACTCAATAACCCGAATATTGAAACCCCCGATGAATTTGCCGACTCCGAACCATCTCCATCAAATAATTTTCACACCAATCCCTTAAATTTTTCCCAACCCCCTTTTCAACCCATACTACCAAATAACCCTGACCCAACCAACTCTACACCCTCTTATGCTTCCCAAGTCACTCCAACCTACTCCTCACTTCACTCAAACCAATCATCTCATTCTTCAGACACCCCCCGAATCTCCCCAGAACTAGATAATTTCATTACCTTACAACAACAATCCTATCACCTTGACACCCCAACCATAAACCAAATCTCATCCACAATAGATTCATCCAACCCTCCTACCCCTACACCCTCTTCAATTTATACTGATTCATTAGCACCATCATCCACAACTACTGTATCTTCACTCAGCACTAATAGAGCTTACCGCACTTTTAAAAGGAAGTTCCCCAACCATCCTTTCCCAGCGAAACCAGGAACAGCCCGTGAATACATCAACCATCCACAACACACTAACACAAAAGAATTTTTAGCTATCACCTTACCCTCATTTCCACAATACACCTTAAACACACCTCATGACACTAACGAGACACGTAACTTTGTAGACGAATACGTTTTAATGCCTACCCTTCCTTGGACCTCATCTTATCATTTTACAAATCCCCTTTGCTTACCTTTATCTAACACTCATATCGATATAGAACGAAATATGGACATGCTATATCGACTCACTACACCACTAACACCTAGACAATTTACTTACATTGGATACAAAAAATCACTAAAAACATACACTGCACCCCGAGCTAATGAATATACACTAGAATATTACGACCATAACATCATCAGAACTAACCAAGATCAATTCTTAGACGACGATCGCTTCGCTAACCCACAAATCACCGAGAAATTTTTCATTAAAACACCATATGTATTTACACTAAATATCTTCGATCGCAAGTTTGACCACATTATCTCAGAAGCACTAACAGACACGCAAGCCTACGAAAGTTTTAAAGAACGCTTCCAAATATTTTCACTAACCTTTCATTTCCTTGCACCACATGAAAGAGATTTGCACTGCTCACACGATATTATGTTGCGCACTAAACAAACACACACATATACTTATTATCGTTTCATCCAAAATCACTTTGACCTACACACTCCCTCCAGACAACCACACCATCGTTTTCAATTCATCAATTCCAAATACACCTCACCATTTTTTTTTTAACTTCACATATTGCATTAAAGATACTAACCTTCATGGTATTCTTCGAAATTATGATCCCATAACCCAAATGTATATCTTTTGTCCCATCACCAGGACCTTCAACGCAGAAGAATCCCGACCCTTCCTCATCCCACACGAGTTTGTACAACCTATAGAAATCCCCATTTTAGAATTCATCCATAACACTAAATTCAACCACAAATTATATAATCTAATCCAAAACACACCTTATGAATTTGCAGTTGGCACTGAAGAACTAACCACAATTAAGGCACTTCAATTGCTTTGGCCACTGCTTCAAACTAAAAATATCATCCGCATATTAGCCAAACTACTAACAACTTCAGATCTCATTCACGACATTTTCCCCCACGGTTTCTTCCCCGACGACTAACAGGTAAGTATGAATTATACATATTACTAATTAATTCAAACATTAGAAACTCACCATTCTTTATCCATGTTTTCTTTAGAATTTTAGCCTTCATCCAACGATCATCTGAAAAATTCACAAAAGAAAAATAAAAAATAGCAAACTTCTTCAAAACTGTTTAAAACCCTATTAACTTTTTGCACCAACAATTAAATAAATATAATACCAATGCAGTAAATTAATTTATAAATTTTTCCCCCACCAGCAGTAAATCTAATAATGATGAAAATTTGTAACTTAATTTCCCCCAACAACTAGCAGTAAAATTAAAATTCTATGTAGTAAATTCATAAGAAGCAAAAGCAGTACTAACCTTTTGATATTTTCATTCACTCGCATAAGAATTCTATCCACACTCGCACAGCTCGCCCACGAAGAATTGTTTAAAATAATGAATTTCAGTTTCAAGCTTTCACACTCGATAACTCTAACACAAGATAACACGTTTCAAACTTTCCTTTAACCCGGTTGGAAAGGAATTATATACTAAACAAAACTAACCAATGCAGCTTACTAAACACCACAACACATAGCATAACAGCATGACTAAGAAAAGGAAACCAACGGTACCCAAACCGGATTAACCCAGTTTAAAACTGGATAAATTATTCTTTTGAAGACTATTATAAAGTCTAAGAAAGAAATAATAAAACACAAAAAAGTCGAAAGACAAACCCATACCACAAACAATTTGATTTTTGAAAAAAGGACACAACCAACAAAACATAAGAAAAACCACAACAAACCCAACATAAAACGTTGTCACATAACAGGACCTCTCACAAAAACCGCATGCAATCATACTCCCACTCCTGGCCTAACCCACCAGGAAGGACGTCCTGAGCATGCTCTATAGCCGACCTAACCCACCGTGCTACATCCACGCTTTGTGACCACACTCCTATTTTTAATAAGAGCTAATCAAGGGTGAGTAACTCTTCAAAATAACTGAACTAAAACAAAAAGCTTTTGTGAAAACAACTAACTAAAATCATAATTAAAAAATATTAAACTAATAAAAGTTTTATAAAATGTAAATTACATTATGCAATACATAGATCAGAATACAACACCAAGGACGAACATCCAAAGACAAAACGACCCTACTACACTCGAGAAAGAATGGCCAACTACAATCAATATGCCGCCCACAATCACAACTCAAAGGATTTAGAGTACGACTTGACTTCGCAGAAAAGGACTTCATTGAACTAGACCAATGACCACCTCGATGTTCAAGTATACGTACAGATCCGAGTAACCAGGCATCCCCACCACGCACAATCTCCACGCCATTCCCAGACAAGGTCAAACACAAAGAAGTTCTCACCGATGAAACAGAAAAACCTGACATAGCCAACCATTCTGAAATCAGATTTGAGTTTGTTGCGAAAACCCAGTCGTTGTCTTGAGAAGACACAATGATTGAATCTGGGACTTCTCTAATAAGAAAACCCAGAAGAAATAAGATGTTCGCCAAATACCAACGTCCATCATCCATCTTTCGAATTGCAGAAAAACTATTCTAAAAAACTCTGTAAAACCCGGATGGGTGGAACCTGATCTAAACTACATTTTATGATTGGATAAATTAGATATTTTACCAATGTAAAGTATTTAATATTAACCAATCATGATCCATCTAACTAACAATCCACTTATTTGTAAGTGCTGAAATTACTTGTAATTTCAGCACCAGAGAGATTTGAATTTAACTTAGAAATTAGTTGAACTCTCCCGAGTACTTCAGCAGCCGCAATAAACCAGTATACCCTAGATCTATTGAGCCTAGCAGAGACTAGTTAAACAACCTGAGACTAGATAGTATAAGAGTAAGATTAGGATCGGTATTAGACTAAGAAGTTGCACGAATCTATCCGGCCGAAAATAAGATAGCGTGACGAGCAGACGGTGTACCCTATCCGAAATTACTCTATGAGTTATACACTTCGGTCCTAACTCAACAGCTTAATAATTGACTCATCACAGCTTACATAGATTCTGAGCTGTCTGGAAAAGGGAAAAAGCCAGTTTTTGAAGAAAAAAAAGTTATGAACGAGAAAAAATGCTGAATCGGAGCTATCTCTCGATTTTTGGAAATCTCTTTTAAAAATTAAGCGTTATTTTAAGTTCGCGCTCCTTCCAAAATTAGGTACATGCTGGCCCGTTAAAAATATAATGTTGGTCGAGCAAAACTGGATTAAGTATAACAGTCACTTTTGTTAGCAATGTTCTTAAATTCCGCCCCCTAAGTTCACTACACTACAACTGATGCAAGAATTGCAAGCTCATAAAAAGCAATAAATTGCATGAATTTCTAAATCGGGGATTCATCATTTGTTATAAATTATAAAAACTGGGCAGCTCTTTTGTTTGGTCTCTGTTGTTTGTGAGTTAATGGTTAGAATTTTATCTTAGTTTAATTTGTGGGTTAATTATTGTGTTATATTTCAGGGCGGAACCCCAGGATTATTCATGAAGCCGGCAAATATTTTTATGACGCGATCAACCTACGACTCTGGAGGAAAAAATCGTTGAAAATTAATCTTTGAGCAGAATGGTTGAAATTTCAAATTAAGGTGGCGAATTTTAATCTGATAACTTAAAAGAGAACGATACAGAGTTTCAAGGCTTGCTACCTAAAATAGCAGCTTTTAAAATCAAGAACTTAAAATCAGCTAACACTTAAGGCCTGAAAATAAGTGAGTATACCTAAAACTTAAAATAATCAATCGCTTCCGATTTTTTTGCCAGAAAAATCAGCTAAAAAAACGTACTGAGCCAAAAAAAAGTTTTATTCAATTAGTAAAAATTTCAACCCCCCCCCCCAAGTAATTATGCATTTTTAATGGATCATCCGATTCTTATGGAAACTTTAAAAGCTCGGGTCAACGTCGACGATAAATGCTAGACATACAATTCCATGCTATAGAAAAAACCTATTAATTGAGAATACTTAGGAAAACTCTCTCATTCAGCGTTTTCAAACACGACGCTCAAAATGGGTTCTTCAAAAAATAATATCTGTTCTTCAAATTTTTCTGATATGCTATATTTGATATTAAATTTAAAATTTTCCACGCAATTGAAAGTGAACAAAACGAACGCGAACAAAAAAATCAACGTCGTATGATAAAGAAAAGCTTTCAATCACGACCTTCTAAAAAAGGCGTTTGTGTCAAGAAAAGCTGATCAAGTCTAGACAAAGTTTTATCAGCGTAGCCAAAGTGTAGGAAGTTTTATCAGCGTAGGAATTATCAAACTTTGGTCGCATAACTAGTTGCAATAAAGCCTGAAAGTTAACCGCAATGTTTTGAAAAATTTTAATTGTGGAATTCTATAAAAATAACAAAATTTACTAACTACTCGCCAAATTCTAGATATTTACTGTGCAAACGTGTAATGAAATCAATAGTTTAGTGTCGATTAAGAATATTGAATTTAAAAAAATTTTACGCACAACCCCCAAAAATGTTTATTTTAAATGGGGAAATTGTTTCGCTGTTCTAGCCAAAATTATACTCATAGCAGCACCAGCGGATTTATGGTAGGAGGGGCGTGAGTTGGACGTTCCTTCATCGGGATTTGACCCCCTGCTGACCCAAAACTTCCCACTTTTGTACTTTTTTGAGATCTCCCATAGAAAAAATGTATAAAAATCTAACGATAATCAGTTATTCGATAAAATAGAATGGACAATTTATGGAATTGTATGGCAAACCTTTTTTCAATGTTTTTTTCATAATTCGCTTTGTACCAGTGTTGCGTCTTGAATACAAAACCGAAAGTTTTCTCAAATGAAAAAACCAACTGATTAAAGGGCATTAAATTGCCAATTAAACTTATTACTAGAAGTCAAGTCATTAAAATAGAATTTTACGCAAAAGTAAATAACAATTATTATGCAAAAACTAATACGCAAAAAAAATTCATTAGTTAAAAAACGCGTCTCTGACAACTTTGATGAACGGAAAATGTTGTGAAGCGATAATTCGTAACAGGCGAAAATTTGTAACATTAATTTAAGAGGCGAACAATAATTTTTGCGCACCAATCTTCTCATGCCGAATGCAAGTGCAGCGGATCGAAGCAAATCAAGCGTAATTTACTTGCCATTGCCCTGATACGAAGCGTCGCTTATTACGAAATGACACCTGCTACGAATTGTAACCTGTTACGAATTGTCGCCTGTTACGAATTGTCGCCTAACAGTTAATCGCATGCTATACTTTTTTCCCGAACAAAAACAAAAATTTGATGACCAATATGTTGTCATTCAACTAAAACTCGATGTACGCTCATTTAAACCTAATTAAAACCCTTTTGGAAGACTTTTCGAAAAAAAAATAAGAGGAAAAATGCTTATCATACAATTTTCATAAATGGTAATCGAATGATATGCATTTTTTCTACAGAGTTCAAGAATCGATTTGTATATGAGCATTTTTTTGTTTGAAGGTCAAATCAGATGTATTAGAATTGGAAAATTACTGCTCAAAGGTTTATCTTCATAAAGTTTTTTTTATAAATACAGCAATGTAGACTTATTCTAGAACATTCCGCATCCTGCTCCGTTTATTGACAACTTACTTACCCTTCCATTACTTGCTTTCTCATTTCAGTTATTACTCCTTGCCCAGATAATTTACACTTAGATATTACTTGGTTAGTTATTTATTACTACTTATTTTACTCAATACTTGCCTTCTGTCTTAACTCTTTGTTTGGTAAGAGCCCGACTGCCCTAAGGCCCGATTAGCATAACTTAGAAAAAATGCACTGAAGCGAATAAAGTTAATTGGTAAGAGCTAAACAGAATGTCGCCGATCGTCTAATTATATTTCTTAGAAGGGGATGTTTTGTAAACCAAACCTTAATTTGTTATCAAATATTAAATACTTTATCAAATCAAGTAATGGGTGTATTTAAATTTCACAGAACGGAGCTGAGAACCATGAAAAAATTTAAATGCATTTTTCATCGTTAATTTGAATCATAAAATGAAAAAAGAGGGTAATCGCTAATTGTGAAGGTCGATACTTTGCCTTTTCTAAAGTCTCTCCTCGTAATTTTTGCCCAAATTTGTAATTTAAAAAAAATGGAAATTTTGGATCGAAGTCGTATTATCTTTATTGGAAAAGTAATTTTATAAACTATTCAAAAAAACTCTTTGCCAATTGATTATGTAACAATCATTTGTCGGGAACTTTTTTCGCCAAAAACTTGGTTTCAAGAAAAAAAAATTGGAAAGAGCAGTCTGAAAACTAATTTTATGCTAGTCGTTCTTTATGCCAGACGATCCTTGATCTTTTTTGGCTCGCCGGGTACACATTGTCAGTTCTTTCCCTCTTCTCCCTACCTGGCTTTTATTTGATTTCTTTCCTTTTAAGCCAACATGACTGTTTTCTACTCTTTTGTTACTTAATTTTTTTGTTACTGCAACTTTTTTTCTTCCTTAAGACTCAAACACAAAAAAGAACTTTTCACATTTTGTACCAATTTTTTTCCCATTACAAAGTTCGAACCATTACATTTTTTAATCAATTACTTTTCACCTCATATTAAAAAAAATCTCATTTTTGTGATTTTTTCAAATGGCAAAAGTGCAACCCTTGCCAGGAGTTATTGCATGGGAAAAAATGTTAGCAACTAATTTCATTTATGATATTACTTTTGTTAGATAAAAAAGGCCACAGCACTGGTCTATTAACATACCCAGATAGCGAACAAAAAGTAATTTGAAATCAAGAATAAAACCAATAAATTGAAATTTGAAAGTTGCAAAATGGTAACCTTTAAAAATATTTTCGTTTATTGGTTTACTTGTTTATTGGCAACCTAGAGATATGACCCACATTTATGGAAATTGGGAGACCAAATTGAAAAATTCTACAGAAGAAATGCGTGAGATACTTGTTTCGGACAAAATCTGTTAAATATCGAATTGATTGTTTATTTTTGTGTACCTTGCCTGTTGTTTTTATTTATCCCTGATCTGGGCCATAATAATTGAGATGGCAACTGCAATCTATAACAGTGGTCTGCCCAAGCCTCCGGACGTCTTTACGATTATCAAGAACAAGGCGCTAAACAAAAAAGTGGTGAGTATTTTTTGCTGTAGTTTCTGACAACTTTTTTTTCACAAATTTTACTGGCAAACTTTTTAATTTTCTGACAAATTTTTCACAGTTTTCTGACAAAAATTCAGCTTCTGAAAACCTCTCAACGAGTATCAACGTGTATCACATTTTTTGATCAATCACTTAAACTTGTATGGCATTATAAAATCAGTTTCTACCTAAAGAATCCATTTCAAATTTTTTCATATACCTTGACATATTATATGTAAACGCATGTTTTTAAAAAACATTGTTTTATTCCTACCCGCACTGGGTTGTGATGGGTACCAATCGATTATATTGGATTTTTTTTGCATATCTTCATGAAAATGTTAAATAATTTTCATAAAGGATTAAAAATCGATTCGAACCTCTTAATCAGACTGCTCGTAGCAGGATGAAATTTTTGACCTTTCGACTGCCCTTCAACGTCTTTGAAACTGATTTTAAAAAATCAATTGAAAAACTGATAAAAATTTCAAAAAAAAAACGAAAAAAGAGCTTTTCTCACACGCTTCAAAGGTAAAAAGGGGTGTCTTAGCGTCTAATTCGTGCCTCACAAATTCGTGCCTGATGTCTGTTTCAAACTAATTTGTGCCTGATTTCTGTTCGTGCCTGATGTCAGTTTGATTTACTAGCTATTTACGCGTTCATAGCACAAAAGATCTTGTGCCTTAATTTTGCTAAATTATCCAAATTGACAAGCTTTAAACCCCAATAAATTTTCGAAAATTGATCACAGATTATAGCTCGTGACCTTTTCAGATTATATGCAAAGTTCAGATCAAAACAAGAATAGCCGCTTACTCTGGAAGTAGCACAAAATGTTCCGACCATAGTCTTAAAAAATACACAAACTTTTCTTCTTTCACTGAACAAAAAAACTACAACCTAGGCATCTTTGACAGTCCCCGTAAAACAAGCAAACAAGAAAAATGACAAAAAAATAATACAAAAATCATTAAAACAAAACAAAATTAAAATAAAATTTTTTCATTTTTTTTTGCCCATAGTCGGAACAATTATTGACAAAACTATAAAAACAAGGATAGCCGGTTGCTGTGCAAGTAGCGCAGAAGAAGCGTGGAAACAAAAGAAAAAAGTACAACACACACGACTACAAAGCTCCTTCTGATTCTTCGAATAGTCAGAACAAAAACTAGTCAAAAAATTGAAACTAGTCTTGAGAATAAAACCATCCCCAAACCAGATGGTCTATCATTTCTTCGAAAATCGGAACATTACAAAATTTAACCTTGATTACAAAACAGAATACTCAAGTTTTTTTTTTTTTTCATTTATGTTTTTCCTGTTTCCGTTTTATCGCAAGTGGCGCGAAGCTCCGCTTCACCTCAGTGTTTAAAATATGATTGAATAGTTTTTATTTAATATCTAATCTAATGTTTTAATGTTTATTGATTACATAGTGGTAAAAAAGATTGCGTGGTTTTGTATCAACATCATAAGATTAGTAGTTTAACCTATAGAATTCCTGAACGTGTAGTTCTTTTAAAGAAACAGCTGCCAAAAAGTCATTCAAAAGCAAAAATTGAATCACAACTTATCACATTATAATACTTTGAATTGACAAAAAAAACCTTGAATCAAAGTTGGGCATCATTTACTTTCAGCAAACCAGTCTTCAAAGTTTTTTGGGTGTTTTGTTTGAACAAGCTCAGAGTACCTGATACTCTAAGTTCATTTTCATGTACTCCAGCTAATCAGCAGACTGTTAACTCATATCATACGACTATACCTAGAGTCCATTAATCGATAAATTACTTACAAGACTGTTCCTTCCTATCAGGTCGAAGGGTTGTTTTGACTGCCGTTGTATGTTTATGGCCTGATTATCAATCTAAAAATTTATGAAAGTTAACTAAAAAAATTGAAATGTTTTGGAAATTTTTTCTTTTGAAAACTAATCTTTGCTCGTTGTATATGAAGTACAACTGCTCCAAGTCAGGACATAACACTGGGACTTTGGCGAACTCAGCGACTTTGGCGGACTCCGTTCAATTGGGAATGGTTTTTAAGCCGGATCATTTTGTCGCTTACGCGTTGTAGAACGATAAAAGGTGCGGGTTAAATATCCCAAACTTTCAAATACCGAGAACTTAATGAAAAATAATCACCTATGAGGAGTGTTTTTAAGCTTGTGCTCAAAGCATCATTACTTTTCAGATGGTAAAAAAATTTACCAAAGGGGCCTGTTAAAAACCAAAATTGTCTGAGGTGAGAAAAAACCAGACTGACCACATATAATCCGTCACTTTCTGTGGAAGTCGGAACAACAAATGACGATTGCTTTGAAGGACTAGTAGCGGATGTTTTGAGCTCTTTCAGCAACAGCAAATCTTTTAAATTTTTGACAGTATTTTGTTTTGTTTGCAGCTGCATTACCATGCCAAACTGTGCATTTTTTGTGAATTGTGAGTGGATTCCGCAACAAGGACGCTCCCTTCGCTCTTCTTTTGGTCTTTCATTTTCTTTGATCGTTCCGACAAAGTTTTACCATGTTTAAAGACTTGTCTCTGGAATCCAGGAACATCCAGGAACAGACCGAAATTTGTGCGCCTATCCAGTGCACATTTTGGCCTCGTATTGTGAAAGTACAACTTATGGACCAAATTTCAACTTGCGATATGTGCCATGCGCGAAGGACAGATAGCTCGAACATTTATTTTGTCAGCTAATAAGAGCTCATTGCTCACAAACTCGAGGAAAATATAGACTTAAATCATTCAGCTTAGGACATTTTGAAGCGCATTGATTTGTCGAAACTTCTCGCGCATTCGGCCTTACGCGCATTTGCACCCCCCCCCCACCCGTGTCCTGCTGTACTATCTCTTCCTACTCATTGTTCTGATCCTTAAAATTAGTTAGTTTGATGCAACTCGTGTCAAATTGGAGAAGATTAATAGTAAAGTTCAGTTAAAACCCGTTTCGAATTGCACCGCCTGTTTTTTATTTAGATGAGACCGCCATAAAATTATTTTGAATTTCCGATAAATCGAAGGATAAAATTTACCTAAGCAAAATAGCTTTTTGATATTTTTCTGCAGGATACGCATCTTGGAAATTTTTGTGATATTTTTGACTTTTTGAAACCATATTCAGCCATTTTCACCCTTCTTGACTTTGGCTATAAAAACAAAAATTAGACACTTTTTAAATTTGAAACAAAATTTCTCCAACTATATAAATCAAAATACAACAATTTATCAAAAATTTTAGCTAAAAAAAAAAAATAGTTCGGGGAAGAAACCTGTTAAATTTAAAATTCAGTATATCAAGGCTTTAGAAGAAAATTAACGTGAATTTTTCTGTTTTTCCTTAAATTACGTTGATTCTCTCAAACCTGTGTACGTAAAAGCAAAAACTTCCTCATTCGCTGCAGAAATTAAAAATGCTTTTAGTCGCAGACGAAAACTACGTTTTTACAACACTTGATTCATAAAAGTGCTTGCTCAGCCCATTTTTGCAGTTTCTATGCAAAAACAATCATTTCCGAAAAAGTCACTTTAAAATTGCATTTTCGTCCCGCTTTCTTTCTCAATTTCATCAGTTTAAGAAAATGTGAATCCTTTTTCAAAATAGAAATTTAATGGTTCTTTTTCAAAACGCAAAAACCAATTTTTCTGCTGAAGAATGAAAACAAAAAAATACCTGATCCAATCTGTAAATTACCATATAGTTGGTATTCAACAGTTTTTCTTAGAATATTTATTTAGTCTTTATTTAGACAAAATTGTTTCAAAAGCGTGCTTTGAAAATCGAAAAGCTACTTTAAACTGAAGCGGCAACAAGTTTTTGAATATTCATCAACTGATTAAGTTCTTATTTATTTGAGAGTTGAGAATCTCTTGAAATAAAAGTCCTTTTAAAAATCAACTCACTGCGATGGATTCAAAACATCGGATGCTGGTACGTTTTTCTTTGATGTTTTTTAAACTCTGATAAAAAAATTTTAGATAAAACTCAGGTTTTACTCTTTTTACAGCAAGTTTTAGAATATCAAACAAGTTGATTGAAATATCATATTTACCGGCATGAAATATGATCAGTGTGATTAGTTGATATTCGACACCGCCCCTGTTTCTACGTTTGAGCACCACTTTTTACTGAATTACGTTTTAAAATTTAGCATGACATTACCCAAATAAAAATTTATACCTCACTTCAATGAGAAAAAGACAATGGCTATTTTTGAGCATGGCATTCAAAAATTATCTCAAACAGTGATTTTTCATGTTTTTGTTCTAGGGTAGATTAGTCAGAAAAAAATCAAGAAAAAGTTATAATTTGTAACGTCCCGGGTTGACCTCCATAAACCGAAAATGCGTATCTTACATTTCCCCACGCCGAAAATGCTTATCATACAATTGCCTACATCAAATGTATGGAAAAATGATAATCATACAATTTTCATACAATTTTCAAAAAAATTTCCAAGTAAAAATGAAATTGCCCCAAAAATTTTTTCGTTTTTTTTTCAACCTCAAATCGAATTTTGTACTCAAACAAACATTTTCCAAAAAAAATTTTGCATGCAAATTTTAATTTTTTGTCTGCATAACGTAGTCCACGATGCACAAAAATTGGGGTTTTTTCCGTTTCTCTGGATAATTTATTTTTAAAATGCTAAAAACTGCTGTTTTAATTTTTATGGCATGTTTATATATATGCCTTGATCAATGTCTGATAAGTTTAAAATTCAATTTTAAAAAAATCATCTTTGAAAAATTTTGCCAAAATTTATAAGTTTGATGCTTTCAGTATTTCATTTGTGAAGTAATCACTCTTAAGCATATCGCTTTCAATGCATTGTCAATGACAGACGATCAACCTTTTGGGAACTCTAGTTTTGAGTACACCATGGGTTTAGTCACTTGTGTTCGGTCACGAACTCATCCCAAAAGTTTTGAGAAATAAAATTTAGAAAAAATCAATTTTTTGGTTTATGAGAAAATGCTTATCCTACACTTTTCATTTATGAGAAAGTCCTTGTCCGGGAGTTTTTTTTTAACAATTTTCTGAGTCTATGAAACTGTAGGAAATCGTAGGATAAGCATTTTTTCATACATGAAAATTGTAAGATAAGCATTTTTGGTCAAACCGGGGTATTAAAAAGAAACAGGGTACTATTATGATAGAGTGGTCCCTTGAAAATAACCAGGTCCCTCGAGAATTAGACACATAGAGCTCTCAATTCGTTTAATTATTATGATTTTGCCCTTCAGAAAGATGTCGAAGTATATTTTCAAACAAATTTCAGGTTTTATTACTTCTTAAAACCTCTCCCTCACCTTTTTAAGGTTGAAAATTTTAAAAAAAAAACGTCAATAGTGTGTTTTTGATGGCAAATAAGTCACCTCGATTATGGTTGTTAAACCGTGAAATAAAGTGAAACGAGCAAATTTCAAAATATTAACCATGTAGTATTTACAATTTTTAATCTGAAAAGTTACTGACTCAACATATTTCGCGAGATTTTTGAAATGAATAATTTATAAACAAATTAGTTTTCAAATTTATAACATGCGAAATGCATGCGGGACCTGTCTATCATAGTTGCTTTTTTGAGGGACCACTCTATCATAGTAGTACCAGAAACAGTTCAAGTTTTCAAAATATTTTCAACCCCGATTTGAGCACCAAAAATTTACTTTAATTCTTCAATTTTAACACGTAAGAGCTTAAGAAATTCAATGACGCTTTTTTGAAAATTAAAAAAATAGCAAAAAATTATAGAAAAACGCTATTTTTAGCGGAAAAGTATACATTTGCAAAAAAAACTGAGTATCGTGCTCCATAAAAAGAATTGTAAGTGTAAGTCCTGCATAAAGTAACAAAAAATACTTTGTCTACAGTAGAAAATTTTTTTAATCCGCACTCAAACAAAACAGAGAAAAATCAAATCTGAAAATCAATAATACAGGCACAAATTTCTTCAAAAAAATCCCTCGCCTTCTTTTTAAATGTGAGTCGTACCAAAATAAAACCGCATTCTGTGATCTATATGGCTTCTATTAAAAGCTGCAGGCTGTTATTAAAGGGCTATAAATATCAGGTGACGAGATCACTACTTTCATATGGCTATTGCCCTTGGCTTTCATTTACTCTATTTAAAAAACGCGTTCCGTTGTATAGAGATGTTGATATATGTGGATGTTGATGTTCAGCAAATAGGACGACAAATGTTGAGACGAAAACAATTTTTGATGTAATTTTAATCCTCCAATTGTATTTCTAAGAAATAATAACCACCTAAATTCGAACAGTTATATAAAAAAAATAGTTCAAAGGACATTAGTTAGTAGTCTTAATGTCATCGAGTTTTAATGTCTTGTCGTCTAATTTACCTACAACCACGCGGCTCATACTATGTATGGATGTATTACATGTAAAGAAGTAATAATTTTTTTCTTGTCTGACATTTTTGATGCTAACAGTGCTGTTTTTCTATAGAATGTCCTTTACATCAAAGGAGAATCAATTCAAGCTTCTATCTGCTCCAAGTTGGTCGGTTGACCGAAAAAAGAGTTGTAAAGTAGTGCCAAAGGAGGTACCTTTCAAGTTAAAAAGAATCGAATCCCGCCCCCCCCCCCCAAAAATGTGCCCCGGCTCCAATGAAAGATCAACAGTGAAGTTTTTTATCTAAATCATTGGCAGATCAACTTTATTTGGGCGAAAAATTAAGCTATGACGCGCTGAATCGACACATGTTGCAACTAACCGACCTAATTACACGGGTATAATTACACGCCATCTTTATTTAGATGCAACATATATAACAGACATTTTCGTTCGGGGCATTGATTCAAACGATTTAACTTTGAATAATTTCAAATTATCTTATGATGCATATAGGATTTCAAAAAATTTTAGTTTTTGTTAAGCCCCTTAGGCGGTATTTTTGTGACGTGTTTCAAAATTTTTCCAAGATTGAATCAGTTTGCGTGAAATTGAAGTTTTCCTCTGCAAACTACTCACGCAAAAAAGCTTTGAAATATAGAAAGATTTTAAATTCAAGTTTTTCAATTCAAGTTTTTCAGGCAAGCTATTCAAGCAAAATAAGTTTGAAACATTTCAAATTTTTTCATGCAGCAAATCGGCTGATAAAATTTTGAAGTTTTCTATTGAAGCCACTCGAGCAATGAAAGTTTGAAAGATTTTCCTCAAATTAAATTTTTTCGAAAATTAAGTTTTTCAACTTATGAAAAGTTTGAATTTCAAGTTGTTTCAAATACCGGTTTACCGATTTGGTTTGTGAAAATCTCTAACTTTTTAACAAAATAATGAAGCTATGAAATATAATTTTTTCTATAGAAACCGCTCGCAAAATAATCAAAATTTTCTGAAAGAAATTTTTTCTAGCAATAAAAAATTTCAAGTTATGTCTTGAAGTAAATTGGATGGCGAAAAGTTGAAGTTTATATTATAAAGCCATTCAAGCGCCGAAGCTTTGAATTTTATCAAATTTTTTCATAGAGCGAATCGATGAGCCAAAGGTTCCTTTTTTCTATGCAAGCTATTCAAGCTATTCAGAACTGAACTATTTCAACTTAATTCATGAAGCAAATTGAATGGTAAAAATTTGAATTTTTTTCTAACGAAGTCATTCAAGTGACAAAAATTTGAAAAAATTCAAATTGTTTCCTAGAGCGAATCATTTTGCTAAGAGTAAAAAATTTCCTATGCAATGTTTTCGAACTGAAAAAAGAAACATTGTTTCATTTTATAAGGCTATCTAGCGAATCAGTTCGCAAAGTGTTCAAGCAAGCTAATGAAGCTATAAATTCTAAGAATATTTCAAACGATATCATAGAGCTATTTGATTCGCACAAACATGATGTCCTTCCATGCAAGCTATTCAAGTGTTTTATTTTTGAAACATATCAAGTTATTCTATGAAGCAAATTGGATGGCGACAATTTTAAATTATTATATGAAAGCCGATAAAGCAACGAAACTTTGAAATTTTCATTTTAATTCACAGACAGAATCGTTTTGCGAAAAAATTTTCCTATGCAAGCTATTCAAGCACTGTAACTTAGAATTAATTTAAGTTGTTTCATATAGCGTATCAGTTAGCAAAAATTTTAGGTTTTTTAAGCAAGCTATTGAAGCTATGAAAAATTGAAATATTTCAAACTATTTTGTGTAGACCAATTAAGTTCGCGAAAAAATTTAATTTTTTGAGCCAGTTATTTTAACTTATGAAATATTGACATTTTTCAAGTTACTTCATGAATTGAATTCGATGTCAAAAAGTTTTTTTTAAAAGAGCCATTCAAGCGATGCAACTTTGATAATTTAAGTTGTTTCATAGACAGTTTTTTAAGCTATCTATTTCAATTGATAGAATTTTGAGCAGTTTCATAAGATTTTGTAGTGTTTTTTACTTTTTTGAGAAAAGGCTAGTGAATAAAACAAAAAATGCAAAAAACGTTAACTAGTTAAAATAAGGTTAAACTTGGTCAGCTTTTCGTCAAATTTCGTCCAATTTAGAATAAAAAACCAAAATAATCCGACTATTTTCTGTGATTTTTTAAAGAAACCCAATCACAATTAAAAGTGCTTCATTATGATCCCAGCATTTAAACCCCCTTCACATCATGAGCCATATTTTCTTACCAATTACTCTCAAATTTGTTCAATTTAATTTCAGACGTTATTAACGTTATTTGAGTCATTGAACTTAGATGCTGAACCTGATTACAAGTGTTGAGCTTGTATAAGCTAGTTAACTAATTTCCAGCTTTCTACTGAGTTTTATATGCCGTAAATGGGCTTTACTCCGTTGAAAAATGACCTTTAATTCAATTTAGATTCAAATTTAGATTCAAGTTAGATTTCCTTTTATTCAATTTAGATTTCAAATTTAGATTCTGCGGGTAATGTCAAGACCTTTATAGCTACCCCACCCCTCCCCCTCTCGCTATGGTAACCAACAAATAATAGCCGCTTTTTTGAAGGAGTAATGGGGGAATAGTTAAAAATATCTGAACTTAATATCAGTTAGTGAACTTAATATCGGTTAGTGAACTTAATATTAGTTAGTGAACTTAAAATCAGTAAGTGAACTTAATTTGAGGTGCTTAACGTGGGCGGATACAGACACGAGGTGTTGTGGAAGACACTAGCCAGAATCCCACGCAGCCGACTTGGCAAACTGCAGATGGCCACTTCTCACGATGACATCATGCGTCTCTGTGACGACTACATCTTGATGAACAATGAATACTTCTTTGATCGACACCCTGGTCAGTAGGCTTTGGAGACTTTCGGTTAGGTGAAACTTCGGCTTTAATTTCTTTTAGGCTAAGTTTACAAAGAACCTTCTTAGCATAACTTAACGTTTGTTTTCTTCGGAACTACTAAAAATTTTACACTTCAAAAAATTAACTAGACTGGAACATTTCTCAAGCTATCTTTTAGCTTGATTTACTGTACTTTTTGAGAGATTTTTTAAACATTTAAGTTAAACAAATATTTTTTCAACCGTAACGTTTCATATTTCCGATGCTTTTTGTCAAAGTATATCCCAATAATTTTAAGTAATAATATTTTTACTTTTAGGAAGTTTGTCGCAGACTTATTTTTTGGCGTCATAAGTTCTATCGACTTCATAAGTTTTTAATGGCTTACGGTTAAATTGGCTTTATAGAATCAAACTTCGTTAATAATTTATGGGTATATCGATTAGTTTGTCTTTTGATTAAGATGGTTCTAGACTTTGCTATCTTTGAGTTTAATTTACTTTTTGTCAGGAGTAACCATTTACTTGATCTATAATCATATGATCGTTTAATGCAACTGCAGCCAAGTGCCAATTCGGCCTAGTAACTTGTCGGCTTGTTTTTTAAATTTCAACAGACGGTTACACTTGAAGTCGATAATGTACTCTGCTTCCAAATGAATCCTGTTCCGAAAATTCAGCTCCGGAAACATCAAATTTGTATGGTAGCTTTGAAGATCTAAAAAAAGCTGTCATTCCTGTTGTCGCCTTCATTTTCACACCCTAATAAAAAAATTTTCATGTAACTCAATTGATTAAAAACAACAGAAAAATAAAAAAGTGAATTTTGAAAATTTTTGTTTAAATTTTTTGATTGAAAATTTCTGGTCAGAGTAATTGTTGCGTTTTGGATTGTTTGAGCATGTTTGTTGTTCTGACTAATCCTTAGAAATTCTGAGGAACTATTGCAGGATATCTCGTTGTTTTCCAACCGATTTTGACAACTCTAAAGAAAGCTCATGTGAAGTTAAGGTATGGTCTCGTATAAACTTCTTTCTGCTATGATTCTAACACTTCAAAAGTCAGCCAAATGGTCTCAATGTTGAGAAAAAGCGGGGTTTTTTTTAAGGCTAAATGATTGAATTAACGAATGGCAGAAATTTACAAATGACTGAATGAGAGACTGTAGTTTCAATTGAAATCTATTGAAATTTTCCATGTATAATTAGCTACTTTTACCTCATTTAAAAATTTTCAACAAATTGAATCGCGGCTTACTGAAAAAAAAATCAGAAAGAATAAAAAGTTACGGAAAAAATTGAAAAAGCACATTTTTTCCACATATTCTGGAAACTTTTTCAACAATCATCAGACAAACCATTTTTTTCTATAATGTCTCTTATAAAACCTACTGTGAAAAGTTTTTCAAAAGACATCAATATACCTTTAAAAACCTTGTTTTTTGCACTCGAGCAAATGCTGTTTCATGTATCTCGGATAAATGTCGTGATAAATATATATCATCATTGTTCGATATCGAAACCACCTGTTTTTGTCAAAAATAAACTATTTATAATAGTTTTTATCCAGGTGCCTTTTCTCTCATCCTGAACTTCTACCGCACTGGCAAACTGCACCTGCTGGAAGACATCTGTCCAATTGCATTCAGTGAAGACCTCTCTTACTGGGAAATAGATGAACTCTACTTGGAGCCATGCTGCCAACACAAGTCAGTATTTGCTGTTTTTTTTATCAATTTATGGATTTAAGTTTATTTACAAGGGACGAGTTATTTTACAAGGTAAAGAACCATCAGCATACGAGCTGTTCGATTTTTTACGGAGAACTGTTGTTGCGTTCCTACGTTCGCTGAGCGAAATGGTTTACAAATAGGTTATATTTGCGGAACTGCAATGACCTTCCGTTTGGGAAATCGAACATATTTTGCTGGAATGAGTGTATACAATCTGTTCAACTTTTTATGCATCATGCCTTTGAATCCAGGATGTTCTCGAAGGGGAGACTTATTTGTCCACTTTTTTCAGGTCAACCCATCCGAGTTCTCTCAAATCATTATAGAGCTTCTACCTAAAAAATTTCCTCATTTCCAGAAACGTTTTCAAAATTTGTTCAAAATTTAGTCCTCTAACTCTCGAACTTTCTTCAATTTTTCTTCGGTTTCTAACTTTCTAAATTTTTCTAACTCTCTAAACGGTTTCTAACTCTCGGTCTCTAACTCTCTAAACGGTTTCTAACTCATAAACACTTTTCGGTAGAGGGTTCTTAGACTCTTTTTTTGCTGTTAAGATACCACCTGAGGAAGGAGCAGCTGATAGAGGAGAGTAGGAAGGAGGAGGAGGAGAGTGAGTTCAGAACACAACAACAACAACACTTCGGCAGGGGGTACTTCGCCCAGCAGAGGAGGAAGCTGTGGGACACTGTCGAGAAACCAAACTCATCCCCTTACGCTAAAGTCAGTCAGTCACAATCGTTTTTAGAGTTCTTTTTACTTATTCCACCCAAACATCAATGTTTCAACATCTGGAAATGATTTTTTTTTGCTTCAATTTGATTGGCTAGAATTAGCCAATCAAATTTCAGCACCATTTCAAAATGTTTGTTTGCTCACAATTTGGGTGGAATAAGTAAAAAGACCCACGTTTTGCTTTGCAGCTAAATTCAAACTTATCGGCGACCTTGAGCATACTAATTGGTTTAAAACAAAAGCATTTTAGGTTAGTTGGTGCTTTGGACAAGGTTTATACGTGTAAATATCAGTGATAAACTGATTTCGACGTCAGAATGAGCAGTTTAGGGTCATTAACTGAACGAAAAAATTCGTTGAACGAGAAATTTATTGGCAACAATTTGGAATTGATTATATGAGCAGCAAAAAGTTATTTACAACCAGAATTAATTAAAAAGAATAATATGCTAGTTTCGAACAAAGTATCTTTTTTTTCAAAAAAGTAGCGTTTGTGCAGTGTTCAATTCGTTCCATTCAGTGTAGAAAACGCAACGGAATAATGGTAGATTTGAGCGACACTTTTGATTAATTTTTAAAGGTTCCCGGCTGCGAATAAAAGTTATAAGTTTTACAAGCATCCAGAATGCCAAAAGATTTTTGATTGCTCAGTAGGTATCGTTTTATTTGAATTGTTCAATGCGCTTATCATTTATCCTGGATCTACTTGGTAATCTCACCCATCCCCACCTCTATGGTACCTAATTAAGAATCTCCACCCCTTTAAACTAATGCAGTAAATTAGCACTGAGCTTTCTATTGAGAATTCTCATTTTGATACATACTGATTGGTCGAAAAGTTGAATATTTTGATCTGCTTAGCAATCTCCCCCGTCTTGAAAAGGGGTGGAGATTGTTAAGTAGATCCTTTAACCTAAAAAGTCGAACTCTTTTCGATGATCAACTGGTTTCCATCTTCTTTGAAAATAGTTTTTGATCTAGGCTTGATTTTGAGTTCTGATGTAACCATAAATCAAATTTACCTAAAAAATCTTGTTTTTCTGATCAATTGAAAAGCACAAGCTCAGCAATATTGCAACCTATTTGGTATTGATAATTTTGTAATATTGATCAATCATAGTCCTTTTAGTCAGCGAATTTGAACCATGGTAATTGAAAAAAAAACTGCTCATTTGCTGTCAGAAATCAGCATCAATGAATTGCAACAAAAAATTAGCACTGTCGACAAATCTAGTTTTTAAAAAACAAATGGCCTTCTTGCCAAAAACGGAACTCAAGCTTACTAATTGCATGAAAAAAATTATGTTAGCTATAAAAACTGAAATTTGTTGCTAAGGAAAGGTTTTTGACAAAGTGTAATTTCGCATATCCTTAAATGTTCAATTAGTTTTATATAGGGATAGGAAGTGTTTTTCATCAAAATCCTTAACATTTATGCATTAACTCCGAGCTCTTCTTGTTGCTTAAATGTTGACGTGTTGATGAGATAGAAGTTCCATTAAAAATTAAATTAAAGAGGAATAGCATTCTATTTCACCAAGGCTTTGATTATTTGATCTTGCAAATGTGATTGTTATACTTGATGGGAAAACTAAGGTACCGTTATTCTTAAAAACACAAAAAAATCAAAAGTCGAAACAAAGTTCAAGTGAGGCCATCTTACACTACAGGAAAAGCCACAAGTTGTTCTTTTTTTGGTCAGTTTGAGAGGATGACGTAACATTACATATACATGCCGTAATGTATACTTTTTTATGGTTTGCCAATTTCTATAATTTTTACTAATCGTCTCGATTAAGCTTTGATTGAATTTGAGCAGATTTGTAAGCTCATTTATAAAAATATGTGTGCAACGAGATTCTACTTTATAAAATCTATCTTTATTTCCAAAACGTGAAATTGCTTCGAACCATAAAAAAAATTAAAGCATCAAACAGTTTGTGGTGAACGACCAAGAGACGGGTCTGATCCAGAGAATGAACTTAAAAAACTATTATGAGAAACAGTGAAGCAAACAAAACAGGAGCAAAAAAAATGATAGCCGAAACTCGAATCACAATTTATTACCGCAGTTATTTTCATTTTCATTCGATTTGATGGGAAGCAAGTTTTTAAACAATTTTTCGTTTGCCGCCAAAGTGCCTTCAGTTTGTTTGCTTAGCCTGTTATTAGGTTAATTGTCTAGATCAGACTCGTCTTCTTGTCATTCACCCAATTAGTTGCCAATTTCACGGGCTGATCCAATTTTTTTCCGAAGCAAAGTGCATGTTTTTATCTTTCGAATTTAAAGTCAACAGCATATAGATTTTTGAGATCAAACATAACACTAATGAAAAAAAAGTTTTGTTGAAAGCATCTACTCGCATCCAATTTTAAGCGTTAGTAATCGATTATATTCTAAATTCAGTACCAGTCTTGCTGAATTTTTTTTTAAAAACTTTTAATTGTTTATTATTCGATTATAGCCTCTCATGTTGAAATTGATTATCATTTATAAAACATTTTAATCAGTTTTACTCAATTTTTAACCCACCTAAGTTTCAATACAATTTTGATCATTTGCTATTGATTGTTTTTATAATTTCTAACTCATTTGTTTTCCAGAAACAATCCACTATAATTGATTATAAATGATTATAATCCCCTTTGTTTGCCAATTTTGTTTGTATCCCTGCATTTGAATTGATTTACATTATGCTTTTCGCAGACGTTAGTCTGTGAGCAAAAATGCATTCGTTCTTGCAGTTTTCGAATCAACTCTAATTTATAACGAATTCGTTTTTTCAATTTTACTCGATTTGAGTCGTTTCATGATGCAACTTTGAATATTTCATGATTCACCAAAATATCAGCACACTCATATTTCTTGATTACATAATTACACATACATAGTTTCATGATTTATTTGGATGAAATTATTTTCACCTCCTACGTCGGGAACCTTTCAACTAATATGAAAGGATATCTGTTCAGATGAGCCAGATGAGCCAAAGTGTAACAAGACATCTTACTTTTAGAGATTTTAATTTTGACAAAAAATCCGTAGGATATAATCATTTATATTTTTAGTGTGACACAAATTTGGCAAAATTATCGATTTTAATTGGTTATAATGGACATAAAGAGTATGAGCTATAATCAATTATAAGGGATACAATAGATTAAAATCTCCTAGAAAAGGTCACGATTATAACCGATAATAAAGCTGTTAAACACCTATTTTTGGCAGTATAATTAAATGTAATAGTTCAAAAAACAATAATCCGTTTTAATTGATTACTCAAGCTTAAACGGGTACGCTGTAGAATGCAAAGATAGCAAACTTTTAACTGAGTAAAAACCACTCTGAACCCGTTTAAAAATGTGGTGATGTCCATTTAACTAGATAAAATTTGAAATATATACAAGCTGCTCTTTTTTCTTTTTTGTTCTGATTTTCGAACACCGTCGGATTATTTTTGCTTGGGGTGTTTTTTTAATCAGTCAATTTTCATCGATCGAAATAAGAATGTTTGGCAACATTTTTATAACTCATTGAAGATATTGACGCCCTGAAATCAAATGTAAAAACATATTTAACCTACGATCATTTTTGCAAAGTAATGGGAGTTTGAAAATTGTCGACTATTTTAGCGCGCTCCGAAGACTTTAACTTTGAAAGTCTAACGCAATTAAATTATTCGCGCCCAACAAATCATTCAAAAATCAATGGATGTTAATCAAACTCATTGAATAATTTCACTCATGATATTGTCCAAAATTTATGCTTTTAAAATAATTTTTACTAACAGTTTTTTTGATATCAATTAAGTGGCAGTCAGAACATTCAGGTTTCGCCCTGATATACGAGCAGTCTTGTTGCTACCTACTTATGTCTAATCGGAGCCTAAACCATTTGACAGGTGCCATTAAAGCTCGTATTTATTATGATTATTAGGGGAACGATTATAAAAAAGCACTTTGCCTGCAGAGCAGAACTTATGGGAGACATCAGGGTGAAAATGTATTGTTGTCCAGTTTCAAGTGAAAGGAACCTAAGACTTATCAGAATCGCAGAAATATTTCAGTTGTGGTTATGAGATCGGACCTTTGTTTGTAAAAATTTTTCAGTAGTGTCTCGAAAAAATCCATTTCCAAAGAACACAAAAAATCATTCAAAAGTCATTCAAACCTTAAGGGGAAAAACTTATTGTGTCTATTGTGTAAACTATTAGCTCACAATTTTTTTTATTTTTTTTTAGTTTAGGCCTTAATGTAAATAATGCAAGAGTTTGAAACCTAAAAAAAATTTAAGCAAGCGATATGTGAAAATCCAATAGTTCCTCAAGTAGCGCAGAAAGAACAAAAAAAGTTTTGTATCAGGGTAAAACCCTGAATGTTTAAATTGTCTCACAAAAATTTGGGTAAATTATTTTTTAGTAAACTAATTATTGATACGTGTACGGAATTTTAAAAAAGCAATTAGCTGCCTCATTTCAATTTGTCACGATTTTGTAGTGCGGTATAATTCGCCACGCGTGTAACTTATAAGACGATTACTTTAGACAGTTTAGTGGCAGTTGAGTATAGTGGAGTGCACACCCGGCTGGACCATGCAGATCAAGTGATCGACCTCTCGAGGGACCAGAGTTTTTAAAAAATATTCTAAAAACACACCGAGCATATATTCCTCATTTTCTTTTGAAGTCGAAACAACAAGCTCAAGTATTACTGCAAATACTATATAAAATTTGCAAACAAATGTTGTCAATAAAAAGTTTTAGATTTTTTTACTAGTGTTTTGCGGTTTTGGTTTCAGTATTTATAAAAATACAGCTGATTAACTTGCAAAACCTGATAAATTTTGAAATCAGAACTCGAACCAGATTTCTTTTATAAAATAAAGAGTCTGCACACTTCGTTAAATTGCAGCCTGGTATCCAAAAGTTTAGTGATTTTTTCCTGGAATCTAACTCATGATTGAAAGGGGTTTCAGTATGGCTGTGATTGAAAGGGGTTTCAATATTGCAATTAAAACCAAGATAAGTGTTAACTTTAGCATAAAGATGAGCATAAAGATAACTTTAGCATAAAGATAAGGGACCGTAACCTTAGCATAAAAATTTGAAATTCTGTATTAAGGCATTTCAACTACAGATTATCCTATTGGATTTCATGACACCAATAGTACCCACAGCATTACGGATCTTATTATTTTTTAAAATTGGTTTTTGAAATGACTCAGTTTAATTTGGTTTTTTATTTAAGAAAATAGCAACAATTGATAAATAGTCATGCATCTGCCACAAAATAGCCGTCGAAAAGTTCATACAGCTCTTTCAGAACCACGATATGCACTGTTCTTCCAGAATTGCAAATTTAATGACAAAAAGAACGCGATAACACGTGAATAAAGCTGACAAAAATTGATGTCATTTAATCATAAGCTATTTTTACAGCCCTAAGCAATAAGCGGGCAAGGTTTTGCATTGTGAGATACAAAGAGACAAGCTGTTCAATCCATTTTGCGTGGTCGACAAAATAACCAATTAATAGGAGAAAGAAACATCAGTTTGGAAAAAATGTAGCCGCAAGACGTCAAGTTAACTGAAAACTGTTTTTTCTCCATTGTACAGCCTCTGTCTTTTTTTGGTTCCGATGTTTTTAGGGGTAAAAAGAAAGGTGTACTTTTTCAAGCAAACTCAGGCTGCACAAAAAGCGGGGTCAAGCGGGGTCAAGCGCTCCAATTAAATTCCAAAGAAAACTGAAATTTTTATCTTAGCGGTGGTTTTGTTCTCAATAAAGCTTCAAAAATTCGGCCCGGCCGCATTTTGTTTTGTACAATCTTTTAACCGTGTAAGAGATTTTGTTATCGGTTTTGAGTCTTTTTATAGGTAAAGTACCTTGAAGGAAACGTTCTGTGCGACTTGCACTGCATACTGTTGACTGTTGTGTTTTTGAGGTTATAAGATTCATTCTTGGGGGGGGGGGGGGGGGGGGGGGGGGAGGAGGAAGATATTATGGCAGCGGGACCGAATGAAGGTAAAATAAAGAAGCACAATGGAACTCAAAAACTTGATATTATTTTAATATATGGTTGCACATGTATTGTCATTTAAGTTTTCTGTCAAAAGATTAGCCCCGTTTGACGTTTAAAACTCTGACCCGCATTCCGTTCAGAAGAAGTTGTGACGCAGACTCGAACTTCCAACCCCCTGCTTCCATAAAGCTCAAACCATTTAGTAAAAATGTTGTTTCAGATCTTCGCAATCACTTCCATATTCTTCATTCTCTTATCAACTTTGGCCTTATCTCTCAACACTTTGCCAAGTCTGCAGCCGAACAGCAGACGTAAACAACAACAACAACAACAACAACATTCACTGTCAACAACAACTTCATTTGTGAATTGCACCCCCATCGAAATCCAAACTGAAGCGAAAAGTAGTGAGGATGATAATTTTGAGGACAACCATTATTTGACGACGATTGAGACCTTCTGTATAGGTTAGTTGTAAGTCCTTAAGCAAGCTAGTTTCAAGTTTCAAGTTTTGTCACGAAAAACGATTAATTGCAAACTCAAAGCACGATGGCATAAATAACGGACATGTCGATGGTGAATTTAAACATCGGAGGCAGCTATATGCAAACAAACCAAACACTTTTATGATTTTCTTAATATTGCTTTAATTTTGAAATTAGGATCTGTAATTTTTTCTCTGTTTAATTTTGAGGGCGTGGGGCCAAAAAATTAAACACATTTTCCAAATTCGTCCACAAACCTCGTCGAAGTTGTAGATCCGCACCTGGTTTTGAACGTTAATTGGAAACTCGCCTGGTTTGAAACACAATTTAAAAAAACTTGCTTTGTTCGAACTAAAAATTAGCTTCAAAAAATCTGCCGTTTCTTTTTTTAGCTTGGTTCCTAGTAAATTTTTACATAACACGTAAAATGAGATTCAATTAATTAATTAGGCTAAAACGCAGCAGCTTTTGACCAAATAAAATGCTGCAGCTCACTGATATTGCCAAAATTAGACCTGAACTAGATTATATATTCAATTTGGTGGTTTGTTTGATCTGTAAATCTGCTTTAAAAGCCTGCTGTTTTTGTTTAATCTTCAGCTTGGTTCACCCTGGAGTACTCGCTGCGGTTTGCCTCCTCCCCCAACAAGTGGATCTTCTTCAAAGCCCCCCTCAATGTGATTGACTTGACAGCCATCCTGCCCTTCTACATCACTGTGTTCCTCACTGCCAGTGGGAGCCCAGTGAACAACGTGCAGACAGTAGGAAGGGCAGTCCAGCTGTTCCGGGTGGCCAGAATCATGCGGGTAAAATAAACTACCAAAATATTGAAATTAGAATCGATTTGTATGTTCCAGTTTTTACAAAAAAAAAAGATTCTCTTGAATCATGCGGTTAACAATAACTACCAAAATACTGAAATTAGAATCTATTTGTATGTTCCAGTTTTTTTACAAGAAAAAAAAACAAGTCGCTCGAACCATGTGCTTGATTTAACTAAAATACTGAAATTAAAAGTCATGAACCAACAAGATGAAACTAGAATCGATTTGTAAGTTTCAATTTTTTTACGAGAAAAGGAAAACGATTCTCTTGAATCATGCAGGGGAAATTGACTACCAAAATACTGAAATTAGAATTGATTTGTAAGTAGTTATTCATTTATCCAGAAACCAAAACGATTCATTTGAATCATCGCTTGGATTAACTAACAGACTGAAAATAAAAATCATGAACCAAAAAACTGAAACTAGAATCGATTAGTATGTTTTAACGTTTTGACAAAAAAAAACGATTCTCTTGAATCATGCGGGTAAAGTTAGCTACCAAAATATTGAAACTAGAATTCATTTGTAAGTTCCATTTTTTTACAGAAAAAAAACGACTCAAATGAATCATGTGGAAAAAACTAACCAAAAAATTACTGAAACTAGAATTGATTTGCTGGGTCCAGCTTTTTTACAAGAAAAAAAAGGATTCTCTTCAATCATGCGGGTAAAAATAACAACCAAAATATTGAAAATTGTATTAATTTGTAAGTTCCAAATTTTTTTTACAGAAAAAAAGGTTCTCTTGAATCATGTGGGTAAAAATAATTACCAAAATACTGAAATTAGAATTAATTTGTGTGGACCAGCTTTCTTGCAAGAAAAAAATTATTCTCTTGAATCATGCGGGTTAAATTAAAAACTAAAATATTGAAACTAGAATTGGTTTGAAAGTTCCATTTTTACAGAAAAAAAAAACGATTTACTTGAACCATGTGGAAAATTTAACTACGAAAATACTGAAACTAGAGTTGATTTGAACGGTCCAGTTTTTTTACAAAAAAATGATTCTCTTGAATCATGCAGTTAACAATAACTACCAAAATTTTGAAAGTTGAAATAATTGGTAAGTTCCAATTCTTTTACAGAAAAAAAAACGATTCATTTGAATCATGTGAAAAAAAATTAACTACCAAAATACTGAAACTAGAATTGGGTTGTATGGTCCAGTCTTTTTACAAGGAAAACGATTCTTTTAAATTATGTGGGTAAAATTTACTAGCAAAATATTGAAACTAGAATTAATTTGTAGCTCCCATTTTTTTACAGAAAAAAAGCGACTCAAATGAATCATACGGAAAAAACTAACCAACAAATTACTGAAACTAGAATTGATTTGCTGGGTCCAGCTTTTTTACAAGAAAAAAACGATTTTCTTCAATCATGCGGGTAAAAATAACAACCAAAATATTAAAAATTGTATTAATTTGTAAGTTCCAAATTTTTTTACAGAAAAAAAGGTTCTCTTGAATCATGTGGGTAAAAATAATTACCAAAATACTGAAATTAGAATTAATTTGTGTGGACCAGCTTTCTTGCAAGAAACAAATTATTCTCTTGAATCATGCGGGTTAAATTAAAAACTAAAATATTGAAACCAGAATCGGTTTGAAAGTTCCATTTTTACAGAAAAAAAAACAATTTAGTTAAACCATGTGGAAAATTTAACTACGAAATTACTGAAACTAGAACTAATTTAAATGGTCCAGTTTTTTTACAAAAAAAAAGATTCATTTGAATCATGCGGTTAACAATAACTACCAAAATTTTGAAACTTGAATTAATTGTTAAGTTCCAATTCTTTTACAGAAAAAAAACGATTCATTTGAATCATGTGAAAAAAAATTAACTACCAAAACACTGAAACTAGAATTGGTTTGTATAATCCAGTCTTTTTTCAAGGAAAAACGATTCTTTTAAATTATGTGGGTAAAATTTACTACCAAAATACTGAAACTAGAATCAATTTTATATTTTGAAATTTCTTACAGAAAAAGAAATTGATTCACCTGATTCATAAGCGTAAAAATAACTACCAAAGTATTGAAAGTAGAATTGATTTGTATGTTCCAATGTTTTTACAAGAAAAAAAACAATTCGTTGGTATCATGCGGGTAAAATTAACTACTAAAATGCTGAACTTGGAATCGATTTGTATTCCCAATTTTCTTCAAGAAAAAAAAACGAATCACTTGAAAAACTAGAATCGATTTGTAAGTTCCAATTTATTTACAGGAAAAAAAATAAATACAATTCACTTGAGTCATGTGAGTAAAAATAACTATCAAAACACTAAAACTAGGTGGGATGTGTAATTTTCATTTTTTTACCGAAAAAAATTGCGATTCACTTGAAAATGCGATTAAAATTAACTATTAAAATACTGAAAATAGAATCGATTTGTATTCCAAATTTTTTAACCAAAAAAAAACTAATTACTTAAAAATTTAGAATTGATTTGTATGTTCCAATGTTTTTACAAGAAAAAAACAATTCGATGGTATCATGCGGGTAAAATTAACTACTAAAATACTGAAAATGGAATCGATTTGTTTTCCAAATTTTCTTCAAGAAAAAAAACGAATCACTTGAAAAACTAGAATCGATTTGTAAGTTCCAATTTATTTACAGAAAAAAAAACGATTCATTTGAATCATGTGAAAAAAATTAACTACCAAAATACTGAAACTAGAATTGGGTTGTATGGTCCAGTCTTTTTACAAGGAAAACGATTTTTTTAAATTATGTGGGTAAAATTATCTAGCAAAATATTGAAACTAGAATTAATTTGTAGCTCCCATTTTTTTACAGAAAAAAAACAACTCAAATGAATCATATGGAAAAAACTAACCAACAAATTACTGAAACTAGAATTGATTTGCTGGGTCCAGCTTTTTTACAAGAAAAAAAACGATTCTCTTCAATCATGCGGGTAAAAATAAGAACCAAAATATTGAAAATTGTATTAATTTGTAAGTTCCAAATTTTTTTACAGAAAAAAAGGTTCTCTTGAATCATGTGGGTAAAAATAATTACCAAAATACTGAAATTAGAATTAATTTGTGTGGACCAGCTTTCTTGCAAGAAAAAAAATTATTCTCTTGAATCATGCGGGTTAAATTAAAAACTAAAATATTGAAACTAGAATCGGTTTGAAAGTTCCATTTTTACAGAAAAAAAAACGATTTAGTTAAACCATGTGGAAAATTTAACTACGAAAATACTGAAACTAGAACTGATTTAAATGGTCCAGTTTTTTACAAAAAAAAACATTCATTTGAATCATGCGGTTAACAATAACTACCAAAATTTTGAAACTTGAATTAATTGTTAAGTTCCAATTCTTTTACAGAAAAAAAAACGATTCATTTGAATCATGTGAAAAAAAATAACTACCAAAACACTGAAACTAGAATTGGTTTGTATAATCCAGTCTTTTTACAAAGAAAAACGATAAATTTGAATTATGTGGGTAAAATTTACTACCAAAATACTGAAATTAGAATCAATTTTATATTTTCAAATTTCTTACAGAAAAAGAAATTGATTCACCTGATTCATAAGCGTAAAAATAACTACCAAAGTATTGAAAGTAGAATTGATTTGTATGTTTCAATGTTTTTACAAGAAAAAAAACGATTAGTTGGTATCATGCGGGTAAAATTAACTACTAAAATGCTGAAATTGGAATCGATTTGTATTCCCAATTTTCTTCAAGAAAAAAAAACGAATCACTTGAAAAACTAGAATCGATTTGTAAGTTCCAATTTACTTACAGGAAAAAAAATACATTTCACTTGAGTCATGTGAGTAAAAATAACTATCAAAACACTAAAACTAGGTGGGATGTGTAATTTTCATTTTTTTACCGAAAAAAATTAGGATTCACTTGAAAATGCGATTAAAATTAACTATTAAAATACTGAAAATAGAATCGATTTGTATTCCAAATTTTTTAACCAAAAAAAAACTAATTACTTAAAAATTTAGAATTGATTTGTATGTTCCAATGTTTTTACAAGAAAAAAAACGATTCGTTGGTATCATGCGGGTAAAATTAACTACTAAAATGCTGAAATTGGAATCGATTTGTATTCCCAATTTTCTTCAAGAAAAAAAAACGAATCACTTGAAAAACTAGAATCGATTTGTAAGTTCCAATTTATTTACAGGAAAAAAAATACAATTCACTTGAGTCATGTGAGTAAAAACAACTATCAAAACACTAAAACTAGGTGGGATGTGTAATTTTCATTTTTTACCGAAAAAAATTGCGATTCACTTGAAAATGCGATTAAAATTAACTATTAAAATACTGAAAATAGAATCGATTTGTATTCCAAATTTTTTAACCAAAAAAAACTAATTACTTAAAAATTTAGAATTGATTTGTATGTTCCAATGTTTTTACAAGAAAAAAACAATTCGATGGTATCATGCGGATAAAATTAACTACTAAAATACTGAAAATGGAATCGATATGTTTTCCAAATTTTCTTCAAGAAAAAAAAACGAATCACTTGAAAAACTAGAATCGATTTGTAAGTTCCAATTTATTTACAGAACAAAAAATACAATTCACTTGAGTCATGTGAGTAAAAATAATTATCAAAACACTGAAACTAGGTGGGATGTGTAATTTTCAATTTTTTACCAGAAAAAATACGATTCACTTGACTCATGCGATTAAAATTAACTATTAAAATACTGAAAATAGAATCGATTTGTATTCCAAGTTTTTTAACCAAAAAAAAACTAATTACTTAAAAATCTAGAATTGATTTGTATGTTCCGATGTTTTTACAAGAAAAAAACAATTCGATGGTATCATGCGGGTAAACTGAACTACTAAAATACTGAAATTGGAATCGATTTGTTTTCCAAATTTTCTTCAAGAAAAAAAAACGAATCACTTGAAAAACTAGAATCGATTTGTAAGTTCCAATTTATTTACAGAACAAAAAATACAATTCACTTGA